GGACCAGCAGCATCCAGGCCCCAGTGGCTGTAGGAGACCCAGACCCAAAGGGGCTCTCCGAGGGTGCAAGCAGCGGCCTGAGTCCCAGGGGCTGAGCGGCGGGGCTGTGTCTCCTCCCGCGTGGCGTTCAGTCAGTGCTACAGAAACCAGCCTCATTTCTAGGCAAGCCCTGGGGAATCCCATGAGCGAGGCCGTTCCCACGCACTGTGCATTGCTCGCCTCTCAGGGCCCTTGGCCCCTACGGTCTCCCAGTTCCGAATAAAGGCGTTGCAGATGCAGCAGCCTTGCCCCACGCGCCAGGTAGCTGGCTCAAGGCTGGAAGGGGGTGCTCTGATACCGGAGCAATGGGCTTGGCACGGGCAGGCAGACAAGTGATGAATCGTTTGCCTTTCCAGTTCCCAATCTGGAGAGACTGAACCAACCGCCCTTTTTACACATTTCCTCCTCTTTGATTCCACCCCTGTGGTTCTGGTTCTTGTCTGATCTCCAACTGGAAGAAGCCCAGTTTGTTGCGGTGGTTCTGATGAGATTTCTGTTGTTTGGGGATGAACACGGCTCAACATTTTGTGAAGCCACTGCATCTAAACCCCAAAAGCCTGGATATTGCCCATAGTCCAGGTCAGTACCCCACCACCACCTGGTTGGCTCATCTGTAAGTATAGCCCTGCTAGTTTATGGCATATAACAAATGCTTAGGAAAGCTGTCAGAACTAATTGCTCTTGATTGAAAAAACTGCCTCCCAGGTTTAAAGGCAAATGTCCAGGTACTGAATTAAGGGCTTGATTGTGTTCTAATGCTGGCAAAACTCCTTACTTAGCATCTGAGTACTTTATATATTGCCTACCTCAAGAGTGCAGACTCAGGCCTTTAATACTTCATTTAATCTTTACTTTCTAGATTCTTACCTACATCCAAAAGCCTCCTGGCAGCTTAAGAAAAAGCAGCTCTAAAGAATATTTTTAAAAACTTGGCAACATGCCCAAATAGAACCCAAACTGTGAACAAAGAGAGGAAAGGAATATATAAAAAATCAATAACTACTAATACAACAGTCTCTAAGTCCAACCGGATGCATATGAAAGAGGAAATCAAAAACACATTTTATCTTATTGTCATTTATATTAAACTCCTTAAAGGAGTTTGTTTATTACAGATTGCAAAGGCAAAATTATATAGTTCCAGAAATGTTAATGTATGAAAAGCCATCCATGGACATTTATAATGAACAGGATTCAGGATTCCAGGTGAGCCTGTATCCTTCTCAGAGCCTGGAGAACAGTATGTTCAAAAAGCGTATGATTTACTAGCTCAACTCCTCTACAAATGTTACTGTGTGTTAAGCAGCTATTTCATTCCACTTCACTGGTGGGTCAAGCAATCTTATGTATATAAAACACTATGTGCCCCTTTGGGTAACGAGGTGCTTAAAGTATAAATTATTATTATATGTATTTATGGCTACCATCCAATCAGTTGACATTTAGTTCAACAGCACTATGGGCCCAATCCTACATTCCCTGTATGCCCCTAAATTCACACTATTTCACAGGGAACTCTGGCTATGTCTAGATTACACCTCTCTGTTCACAGAGAGATGTAGATTAGGCACATCGAAATTGCTAATGAAGCAGAGATTTAAATATCCCATGCTTCATTAGCATAAAAATGGCTGCCACCTTTTTAAAAAAAAAAAAACAGCAGTCTAGACGTGGATCTGTCGAAAATAAACCCTTTTTTGACAGATCGTGTATTCCTCAAAAAATGAGGTTTGCAGGATCTGTCGAAAAAGGGTTTATTTTCGACAGATCTGCGTCTAGACTGCTGGGGTTTTTTTTTTTCGAAAAAGCTCAGTTTCGGAAAAAAGCGGCAGCCATGTTTATGCTAATGAAGGGCGGGATATTTTAATCCCAAATTCAATCTACATCTCTCTGTCGACAGAGAGGTGTAGTCTAGACATAGCCTTGGGATGTGCAAGGAATGCAGAATCAGGCCCCCCAGGGCCATTTTGGGAAAATTCTCTTTTGTAATTACACCTTCTGTCTCATGAAGAAATAAACAAGAGGTATCTGTATAATATCTTCATGACTTCTGAGTCTGAAATAAAATTACTCCTGGGAAAATTGCATGGTTTGGGACTGAGGGATCTACCTGCCTGAGATCAAAACAACATAGCAGGGTCCAGCTCAGCAATTATTGCAGGCTAGTCTCCAGTGAGTAGACAAGGAAGATGTGAGTGTGTAGTGATTGCCAGATGGTAACATCATTTGCTTTCTCTAATCTAGGGAGCGATGCATAATTTGGAAATATATTGTGAATAAAATAAAATTCCTAATAAAAATAGAACTAGGCTTATTGACGTCTTCATATTAACTTGACATCAGCTGGTATTTATAAGGTGCCTTGTGACGGGGCAGAAGAGCCCCGCACTTCGGAGCACCCAGGGGCCGTGTGCCTGGCGGCCCTCGGGGCCATGTGCCTGGCGGCCCTCGGGACGGGGCCGCAAGCTGCCGAGACGGGCAGGTCACGGCCAGCCGCCTGAGCAGCCCCGACTCAAGCCGTGCAGCGGTGCGCGAGGTGCTCCTGGGCAGTCACGGCCGCAAGATGTCCGGGCAAGCCGGGAAATCCCGGTGACGTCACGGTGCATGTGACATCACCCTGTGGCCATGGTGCCGGGCCGGAAACGACACGCTGGCCTGGGAGGGGCCCTGCCGACTAGCCATGGCACGGGGATTTAAACGCCGGCTAGAGGAGAGGGAGGAAGGAAGGAGCGCAGAGAGCGTTGTCCCCCATGACAGGACAACGAATGGGCCCAAAGCCGAGAAGGTAAGCCCCGACTCGGCGGGACAAACCCAGTTGGGGAGAGGAAGCAGCCCAGGGCGGGCAAAGAGAGCCTGCGGGCTGGCGCGTTAAGGCAGACGCCCCGCCAGCCGGACCAGACGACCGTAACGTCTGAGTCTTTAGGGCCCTAGGCTGGGGTCCATGAGAGGGGGTGGGCCCAGACCCCCCTCTCTCCATTGTGGGAGGCGAACCGACCTCCAAGGCGAGAGAGGCCGGTCGGCTGCAAGAATAACTGAACAGGAAGCCGGGAGGCAACCTACAGGGTGAAGGGAGCACGGGATTAAGGGCGAGAGGGAGGAGGGACAAGCACGCCCCCGACCAGAACGTTTACATGCCTCCTGAAAAGTTGTTCAGTGTAGGAAGGGCCAAAGCCTGCTTGCCATCATGGTGTAAGTACATAGAGATGTACCAAAAATTTGGCCAGAGAGATTTGCCCTAAAATAGGTCAAATAACAGAAAAAG